AGCCGTCATTGTTGTTTGGCGGGTCCGGGCTGGGGATTCGAACCCGCCACCTTAGGTGTACGTGGCTGGCGCCTTAGCCGGTTGAGCCATAGGCGCCGAGCCTAAAGGATAAAATTTTAAGATAATTTATTATTTCTTCTATCCTCTTACCATACGTTTTCCTCGATGAACATGGATTACTTTTATCATCAGAAGATATCTTTAAAAGAGCAGCTCTTAGGTGCCTAAGTGTTGCTATAGGGTGGATGCTATACTTTATTCACTTTATTCCCTTTGATTTTTATAGATGCCTTTTTTTAACATAATTACTGACCACACAGCCTTGTCTGAATCCAAAAGAAAATATGATTTTTAATTATAGCCCACCAATTAGCTCCGTAAATCATTTCATAAACTAGTTGACTTCCTATGATTCATATTTGTAGTCAAATAGGAATGCCTTAATGAACATGTGAAAATCTCTTTCCTGGGCATTTTTAGAATGCCTTTTCTTTGTAGTACTAATCTAGCAAAGCAACAATTTCTAAAACGTTCCTTAAAATAAGAAAAATCTGACAGGTCCTAAAGTTGTTTCCCAGTGCAATTTTTCTACAGCTGTCAGAGTGGTCTTGTATATTTTTAGTATAGGTACTTTGATTTATTGTCAGAAAGTGACTTAGTGGCTAAAAAGAAAGGGGGGCAGGAAATGGCAGCAAAAGATGGAGACTGAATGGAGGGGAGATGTTCGTATAGAAATCTTAGAAAATAGCATCGTTATATAACTAGTTCTCAAAACCCATAAACAATTTAGGCTTTCAGAATGGTACGAAGAAAGAGCCGAAATTAGAGGCGACATATTGTGTATTTGTTGTCATTGCAGCAAGTAAATTACGCCAGACATTGGTTTTGGCCAATTCATCACAAATAGTGCCATGATTTTCCCCGTGACCCTTCTGATGTAACATTCTTTAAAAACAGTTTTTCAAAGGATGTGAGAAAGGAAGTCCTTATAATTTAAAGAAAAAACAAAAGTCACCGTAACAAGCACGTGAAAGTTCTTACTTCTTCCTCTCAAAGCCTAATATCCTAAACAAATCTTTAAAGTACTGGGGGACGCGGACCACCACGTTCTCTGAGGGGCCGATGTCCTTCAGGTGGGGATAGAGCCTGGTATCAATGACCTTCTTGATGTAGCCCAGCCAGTCAAACTGAGGGGAGACAGGGGAAAAGAAAAAAACAAAGTAGAAAAAAAAAATCCTCTGTTAGGCAGCAAGGAAGGAAGGCAAATAATTTTAAGATGCAATTGCTCAAGTCCAGAAACCAAACTCCTCATCATTGCCATCCAGACCTATGGCCTTAATTACAAATGGAAATAAGTTCCATACCTTCTACATCTGGACAAGAGCCCTCCACACACACTGTCACAGTGACATGCCCCTCACTCCCCTTGTCCCCCCACCCCGCACTCTCCCTCCCTCCCAGACTCTCCCTCTCCATTCTGCTCTCTCCCTCCCTCCTATACTCTTCCCCATCCCATGCTCTCCCTGCCCTTCTTCCTCCCCATTTGCCCTCCTTCCCTGCCTGGGTCCTGTGCTCTCCCTCATACACACAGACGCAGAGGCCACGCACATGACTGGTCTTCCTAACGCAGCCTTTCTCAGCACAGAAGGAAATGAGCGGCAACAAAAGTAACGTGCCTCCATTCGGCAGAGCTTCTCTAGCTCACCTAAAACACCATTTGGTGTTAGACTGACTACGCTAAAAGTCATTTCCCAGCCTGCTCTCCCTGGCTTGTCTCCACTACTGAAATGGAAAACCAATTACTCAATGCCCAGCCTCTCCTGGAGTTAGGGATAGCAGCGCAACTCAGTTCCATTCAGGAATAAATAAATGGAAGACATCTGGGAATGTTCTGGAAAGGTTTTTTTGTTTTTCTTGGTAAAAGAGTTAAACATTGGCCATCACTGACCCTTCCCTCTTCTGCTTGCCCTGAGGGCAAATACGTATGCGGAGCCGTGGTAGCCACCTTGCAACCATGAGTCATCAAATATGAAGTCAAAAAGCCAACTCACTCAGGTGAGTGGTATGGAAAGATGGAAAGAAATTGGGTTTTGACAATATTGTGTAACCACTGAACCAACACCAATAACCACCTGTGTCTAGACTTTTGCCACGTAAGAAAATGGGCTTTAAGTTTTTAAGACCCTACTGGAAAGATTTTCTCTTCCCTACAACAGAAGGCATTCCAGCACACAGACAAGGGATATTTTATGTGGCCACTGACAATGATGATGATAACCAAAAAGACTGATAGTAGGTTTTACAGGGCAAAATTTTACACACAGATAAAATACAATTGCCTTGTAAAACGGCCAGTGAAGAGAAAGTTTTCTGGATAGTTTTCACTAACCTGGGGAATCATAGCACTCAGTTCAGAAATGTTCATTTTGTTGTACATGGCCTCACTGGTTCGGTTTTCATGCGGAATCATTATCTGTTGGAGAGAAACTTTGGTTATTTTTTTTTAATGAACCATTTCTTACTGTGTAACTACTTTCCACATGTGCCAAAACATCTGCATAGTATTATAATTTTTTTCAAGACTTTGGTGTGGTGCCCAACTGGAGAAAGAGAAAAAAAAGACATCACTTTAGGCAGGATTAAGATTAAGAAAATAAAATGAAATCTTCATGTCCTCTTCCACATGAAATATTGTTCCCAGGACAGAAAGAACTACCTAGAATCTCCCCCTCATCTAAAATGTGGATGGACAAAATACATTGCTGGCTCAGTTTTGACAGCCAAACTCAAGCTGGACAATTGAGGCAAACATCCCATGGTCTTCAGATAATTGTCTCAATACAAACCAGGCCTTCATCTCTAGGGGCAAATTTTCATAATGAACACTAGACTCTCTGGACACCGCTACTACCCATAATCATTTTGTCATCAGCTCATTCCTACATCTTCTCCTCTAGTTTCTTTGGCCTTGACATTCCGCTAGCTGTATTGCTGGGAATATGGATTCCATTATACCTAGACACGCAGTTCACAAACTGCCTCTCCAGCCCTGACTCTACAGTCTTTCCATTCCAAATATTCTTATTCTCGGCCATGTGGTCAACACCAAATCTAAGCTTCTAGTCTCCCCACCATGCTTAATCTAATCTAAAAACAGCAGCAATGTTTATCTTCCTCAAGAGTCACCTTAATCACCTCCATGGATAGGCAGTTGTTCCCATGTCCATCCCTGAATCACGTCATGATTTTGTCTTAGACGCTCCATTATCTAATTCCCTTGCATTAAACTTGTCACCTCCCACTGCACAAGTAACTCTCCTGCCCTTGCCTCATCACCTGCATGGTTCAAGCCTGCCCAAGATTCATCATCGTCTGTAGCAAGGCTTTCCAATTAAACGCCACTTGGTTCCAATCCCAAGGGCCTTTCCTTGTGCCCACATATCTCTGACTGGGACTGGTTAAATACACACTTCCAGGGCTTTATTTGCAAGGACTTATTTGTGTTTGGACCCTTCTGTCTCCCCAGTTTCAGAAGTTCCCCATGGACTATGTGTCTGACTAATTTTGAATGTACCCCATAGCTGGAGGTGTAAGAGATAAGGGTGAAAATTACCAGCAGGCCACAAATCCACACGCCATGGATTTTTCAAGGCAAAATCATGGGGGGTCTGAATGGCAGACATTTGTCCTCTCTTTTCTAAAAGCTTCAGTGTCCTTAGATTCTCCCACCTCACCCTCAACAGAGAAACCACATGTAATTTACAAACAGCTTCCTGGATCTGTGTGAATCATTGCCTCAGAGAACGTCCACACTCCACTTCCACCCACCCCCTCTCCGCCCTCAGAGTCTCACAGCCCCAGGTTGGAGCCTTATGGCCTCAGAGCTGTTTTCAGCTCTTTGCCAGCTACTTCCCTCCACACAATGGATTTGTCACATCATTTAGCCCCTTGACAATTCCCACCTTGCCTCAGCCCAGCTGTTTTTAGTTCCCTTTTTGGTCCCAAGCCCTGGCTCAGGGCAAGGCCTTCTTCGCTATATAAGAGCTTCAGTCCAAACTAGAGCTCTGGGCCTCCTGTTTGCCTGAGAAGGGAATCCAGCCAGCCTCTAGACATGGCTCTGAAGCATAGTCTTTGACTTAAAAACATCTGCAGCAGTCTTTACAGTTATCAAAGGTAACGTGCAGGAATGAACTTTTTGAACCGCGAGTAGGCAGTTGGAGAGAGGTATATGCAGCCAACCTCACAGTGGAGAGAGATGAATCCCTCTTTCCTCCCCCCTCACCCTACTCTATACCTCCACACTCTACCACCACGTCATTCCGCACAAAACCAATAAACCCTTGGGCTCTGTTCACCTCAGAATTTGTATCAACTTCCTCCATTGAAGACTACCAACTCATATGCAAAAAGTTCTTGGTAATTCATTTTTTTCATGACAAGATTTCCGCATAAGCAGATTTCACTGCATTTGTTCCCTTTGGGCCTGAGAACATACAGGGATTTTATACTTTGGTTCGTCTAGAAAATATATATATATATATATATATATAATCAGCGAGGATTTTTCATCATTCTCCCACAAGTTTGTTTTTATCTTTTTGTCTCTGCCATGAGCCTAAAAGAATTTAAGGTGAGGGTGGTGCCTGTGGCTCAAAGGAGTAGGGCACCAGCCCCATATACCAGAGGTGGCGGGTTCAAACCTGGCCCTGGCCAAAAACTGCAAAAAAAAAAAAAAAAAGAAAAAGAATTTAAGGTGACTTACACAGAACATGTAATTCTGTATCATATATATGACACAATGACAATTCAATTCATTAAAGTAGGGCAGGAAAAGAACAAGAAACACGGGTTTTATACAAAGTAGCTATAGAAACGTGGATTACAAATGCTTATCAGCATGCCCTGTCTGCTTTCTATATAAAAGTTTATATCCAGTGTTAGTGGACAGACATCCCTGAACCCAGAACTTAGGTCAGACTGAGTCTGAATGAGAATGGCATAAAACGGAGATACTGGACTAAAAGCAACCTTCCATTCAGGCTGAATCAATAAGGACTTATTGAGCATCTATCTTCTATTTGACCCAAACAGGAGTGTCTATAGGAAAATAGAGTCTCCCTGGCCACAGCCGAGCAGCCTAGGGACACTAAATGGGTTTAAACCAGGGAGATCGGAGGAACAAAGAGCTCTTCTTTGTGTCACAGTTCTTTTCTTGTTACTTCCCAGAGGAGGTGCTATTAGCTCTACCTTGGACTCAAAGGGCAATGCCACAGAATATTACTATTTGGTTGTAATTTATACTTTTATCCAGGATATACTGCCTCTAAAATAAGAAAAGGGGGAGGGAAGGGAAGGGAAGGAGGGGAGGGGAGGGGAGAGATTTTCAATGGAGACTTACCTCAGCTATCTTAATTTCCAGCCTAAGCACTGACTTCATGTCGTGCTCTGCTCGGGAGCTGTTAGCTCCTAAAAGCACTGCAGTATCCACCATGAACTTGTAAAGGGCATCCCGATACTGTAAGAGAGAAAGAAGCAAGTGACCATGACAACAGCCTATTAGGAAATATGTTTGAGAGACACAGAAGGGCAGACACAGCAGGTGGGAATATATGTCATCTATTTCCACTTTGTCCTCAAAGCACAGTCTAGGCATGATGCACTACCAGCCACCCACCTACCACTTTGGGAGAAAAGAGTGATGGCTGCTTGAGTACTGTTTCCATGACAGACAGAGATGTCCCACCAGTCCAGCCATCAAGCATCAGGAGAACTAGTTTTCTGGCAACCGGTGACATTACGGATTCAAGAAGCATCTCCAAATGAGCCCAGAATAGAAAGTTAAAGGTCAGACATCCTCTTTCCAAGCAAGTGACGTTTTAATAAAATAATGGGAAAGAACTGTTTCTAAAAGCAGGAGGCCTGATCCGCAAAGCCTGGTGAGAAGTGTGATTTATTCTCTTCCGGCTCAATTTACCCACCTTCAGACTAAGAAATAAAATATCAGCGATAGCAGCCCTGGGTCTTTTCAATTTTGTACAGTTTTCACAAAGTTTTCCTCCTGAGCTCAGGAAGAAAAGAAGGGACAGAAGAGAGGACTGACAAGGAGAAACCTAACAAATAGCAGAAATGGAATTTCCTTCCGGCATGCCCATTTGGGGTACCACCGTGTTGCAGGGGGAGAACTTAACTTCAGGGCAATTAAAGAATCTCACTGGGCCCATCTCTCATTTTAGATATACTGTATTTGTAAGAACTCTATACAGAAGGTATTGAATGACCTCCTCATCACGCTATGGAAATAAGACTTCCTAATGTACACCTTGCCTCTGTAAGCTATTCTCACTGTGTGCATGATCTCGGGACCTACACAGTGCTTGGCATATCACAGGCCCTTAATAAATAATTGCTGAATCAGTAAGCAAGCGTTAAAAATAGTCTTGGGCTCGACACCTGTAGCTCAGTGGCTAGGCTCTGGCCACATACAGTGGGGCTGGCAGGTTCGAACCCAGCCCAGGCCTGCCAAACAACAATAACAACAACAACAACAACAAAAATAGCCAGGTGATGTGGTGGGCACCTGTAGTCCCAGCTACTTGGGAGCTTAGGCAAGAGAATTGCTTAAGCCCAAGAGTTTGAGGTTGCTGTGAGCTGTGACGCCATGGCACTCTACCCAGGGCAACATAGTGAGATTCTGTCTCCAAAATAAATAAATAAATATAAAAATAGTCTTAATTTAAAAAGATGTTTCATTATTCCTAGTTCAATTCAAAAAGTATTTATTGAATACCTACTCAATACACATGCAAGGTGGCTCACTAGGCACTCTGCATACATGGGGGAGGGAGGTACAGATGAAAAATTGAAGAATACTTGAGTTTGATTCTCAAACTGTGATCCAGTGGGGGGGGATAAACATGTAATTATTAATTGTAACATTAGAAATACCAAAATAAGTTCTTTAATAAGGCTGCTACCTGCTTTGAAATGCAGGGGCCAGAGCATTCCAGCCTGCAGAAACTGGGGACATAGCATTTGAGGGAGACAGATTCAGAGGCAGTGAGATGTTCCACTGTGAGGTGAGCAAGCTGCTTTGGTTGGGGGTAGTTCAAACAGGAAAGAGGGCTTGGGATCAAGTCATGAAGAGGCCTTGAAAGCTCCCTAAGAAATGGAGAACCTATCTTGGGGGCAGGGCTTTGAGAACAGAACTTGGCAAGTGGTACTAAGCAGGCAACCAAAGGAAGGGGAAATGATAACAGTTAAAAGGCTATTTGCTGTAGTCAAGGCCAGAATCAATAAGGGTCAACCTGGGGCAGTAATGATAGAAAGGAGGGATCAGGTGGATGGAAGAGATATTTATGAAAGTGGAATCAACTGATTGGTTGTGGGAGAGATAATTTCAAGCCTGGATGCTGAGATTCTAGCAAAAAACAGAGGGCTCCCCCTGGGATGGTAAAAGTTCATTCTGTCCACTCTAAAGAAGGAAAATTTGCCAATCCCCCTTGATGAGTGTCCTCAGCCAGAAAACAGCTTAGGATCTTTGCTAGTTTCCTGCCTTCCAGAGCCTTCTACACATAGAGGTTAGTATCAGCACAGACTCCAGAAACTTAGGTCTGAGCCACCTTCAAAAGTTCAATAAAGTTTCCAAAATGAATTAAAAGTGGCACAATGAACCAATTATTTCCAATTTCCAAGAAACTACTAGGTTTCCAAGGCAACCCAAGAAGTCTAACCTGATTGATCCTTTCTGGCTCTCATTAACCTGGGGCACCTCTTAAAAACCCAGATTCCCTTCAGGTGGTGCCTATGGCTCAGTGAGTAGGGCGCTGGCCCCATATACCAGAGGTGGTGGATTCAAACCCGGCCCCAGCCAAAAACTAAAAAAAAAAAAAAAAAGTACAGATTCCCAAACCTCATCTCAAGTATACTAAAGTCAGATTCTCCAAGGCTATAACCCAAGAATCAACATTTGATGGAAGGTTCTCCAGGGATTCTTTTTTTGTGTGTGTGTGGTTTTGACCGGGGCTGGGTTCTAACCTGTCACCCCTGGTATAAGAGGCCAGTGCCCTACTCCTTGAGCCACAAGTGCTGCCCTTCCCAGTGATTCTTAAGCAGTACCATTTGAGAAGTACTCACCTCCTGGGCATCCCTTCCCACACTTTCTCACTGCAATGGACAGTGAACTCTCTGAATTTCTGAGGAATGACTGCAAGCTCATTTCTTGGTTACTTCAGTCAGATGTGCTATTTGCCCAGCTAGATCATGACTTATACAGCCTTGATGCCCAGACTTCCAAAAGATAGGAAGTAGAATTTATCTGCCTAAATAAAAGGCTTCCTCTTTGTATACAGGAATATGGTCATTGAATCGCCATACTGCTCATTTCCAGTAAAGAAGCAGGGACCTAAGAACAACTGATAAACCCAACAGCAGCCTGACAAGACACTGGGTGAATATAAGTAAAACTTACAGACTTGGCTTCTGTGCTGTTATCCAGGTAGTCTTCCCTCACAGCCAGGGAGAGTGTTGCTTGGTCCAGCTGTGAAAACAAGCCCCAAAAAGCACATTCTGATAGCACTGTAAATTCTTATGTAGCACGTGAATAAGACCACTTGCATCCCAGTCGTATTTTGACCTCATGTCCACCATTACAGAAGGAATTCACTATATTCAGAGCTACATGCAAATAGGCATTTTGGTGATGACAGATATAATAAAGTATCAGAGACCTTCTTCTGCTTTCCTCATTCATGTTTTCTAACCCCTTTGAAGTTCTGTCAATACTGAACAGCATCAAGGCTATATGAGTTGGATCGATCTTAGCAATTATTAGCTTTCCCCCCATATTCAATGGGGGGAAAAACAAAAACCAAAGAATCAACATGACTTTCCTAAGATGACATGGTTGGGCATAGCTCAGAGGGAAATCATTCTCTCCTTTCACCAGATCCAGTATTCTTTTTACTGAACTATTTTGCAAAATACCAACTTGGATGGAGTTGATTAATCAGACTTTCCATCCTCTATTGCTAAAATAATGTATTGCATTGATTTTTTTATTTGAAAGAAGTCAAATGATAATTTTGTATAAAGAAATCTTTGCAAATTTTAGAACCCTCTGAAAAGTTTAGGATAAATAATAACACAAATAATCAGACAACTACATTAGTAGAATTTTTGTGATGGAGAAGCATAGTATATATAAATTCTTAGATTAAAGCTTTCAGCACCTTAAAGGCAATCAAAGGAAAGAAGATAATCTTTTATTATTTTTTTTTTGAAACAGTCTTGCTCTGTTGAGCAGGCTAGAATGCCATGACCTCAGCCTAGCTCACAGTAACCTCAAACTCCTGGGTTTAAGCAATCCTCCTCCCTTAGTCTCCCCAGTAGCTGGACCTACAGGTGTGCCCTCCCATGCCCAGCTACTGAACTATTGAACTCTTTCTATTTTTAGTAAAGACAGGGTCTCGCTCTTGCTCAGGCTGGTCTCAAACTCCTGACCTCAAGCGATCCTCCTCCTACCTTGGCCTCCCAGAGTACTAAGACTATAGGCATGACACTGAGCCCCACCAGAAGGCAATCTTTTCAAATGAGCTAGAGAAATTGAATGTCCATATGCAAAAAAAAAAAAAAAAAAAAA